TATTATCATTTTTATATGGCTTTTTGCCACTCTCATTTAAGCGCAAGAAAATTTACTTACGAAAATTAGCCGCTAGCTGCGCGAAAAACGATTTTACAAAACGTTCTCGGGGAAGCGTTTATAGTTTCAGCAAGCAAATAAAGCAGCAAAAAGTATACAACAAGAAGTAAAAAGCATGTGGAAAGCGAAAAAGTGACTGGGTTTTTACAGCTCAGCAATAATTATTTAAAAAACATAAGTAGTGCACGTAATACTTTTTGTTGTAGAGTTTATAATTATTAAAAAAAAAACCAAAAGCTATTGAAAAGTTCTAAATTTTAAGTTCAGTTGCAGCATCCTCGAGACCTTTCAATATTCTCTAAGGGATTAATATTTGATATTTAACAAGCATAAATTGTAGGGTTTATAACTGTTCAATAAAAAGCTCAAAAGCTTGCTAAAAGCTCTAATATTGAAGAAGTTATTACTTGATATTCAAACAGCGTGCGTATTTCACTGAGTATTTTTTATTTTACAATTTATAATTAATAAAAAAAAAAGTCAAAAGCTCGTTAAAAGTTCTAAAATTGAAGTTCGGTTGCAGCACCTTGAGACTTTTCAATATTCTTTAGGGCATTAATAATTTATATTTAAAAAACATAAGTTGTAGAGTTTATAGTTATTCAAAAAAAGCTCAAAAGCTTGCTAAAAGCTCTAAAATTGAAAGGATCAATATTAGGCATTTAAAAACTATAAGTTGAATATAAGTTGCAAAGCGTATAGTTGTTTAACATAAAGCTCAAAAGCTTGCTAAAAGCTCTAAGACGCAGTCCACGAGTTTTAAGAGGTTATATTCACTTGTGAATTTCAAAAAATCGATTTTTTGTTTTGCATATATATCGAATGTATGTATATACATATATTTGAGAACGTTCTTTAAAAATTTTAAGTTGATCCGGCAAATAATTTCGTAGATATGATCGTATTTGTAGGAATTTTATAACTTAGTGTAAACGGCTACCAAAACTTTGAACGAGTTTTTTCTTAAAAAAATGTTTTCAAAATCGTTAAAGAAAATTTCTCTGAAGCGGCTGAAGCGATCGACTTAAAACTATTACACGACCGAAGGAACAAAATTTTTGTTAATTATTGAATTAACGAAGTGTAAACTTTTTAACAAAAAACTACTTTTTTTTGGAAGCCACGATTTTGTGAAAAAGAAAAGATTCAACTAGTCTTTCGGTCATTATATGTATTAATTTAACGTAATGATAAATTTTGTTGCTTTTGGACTTGAGTTAATTTAAAGCAGAAAAATCCTGTTCCCTGCCACACACTTTTTTTCAGAGTTCCTACTGGAGATCGCTGATTATTAAAGCATATTAAATTCTTTAAATTTAAACTTAATTAATTAATCCCTTAAGTAAAATTAAATATTTAAAGAATTAAATTTTTGAAAAGATTGTCAAATTAATATTTTTATTTTTTTTACCTTTCGAATTTTTCTAATTTTTTTAAATTCAAAATATAAATATTTTTTTGTTTACATAAAAATTGAATTAAAAGTGTTTTATGTAAAAAAAAAATAAGTTATATTTTTTAAATGTTTTTGCTTCTCAAAGCTCCTTAATCAACCAATTTTTCGCGCCTCACCATTCGTTAATTCCGTGAGACGTCAGCAGTTAATATTTTTTTCTTTTCGCGTATTTTTTGCTGATTTGTCTCGTACACGCCTTGCAGCTAGCAGTTGCTGCTCATTGCGTTCTACATTTTGATTGTAATTACAGTTTTGGCATATTCGGCGCACTAGTTTCTTATATTTAATTTTTACTACGTCTACAACTTACAACGCGGCAGCTGTCAATAATGCTGCGAAAATTTTCATTCTCATAATGCTTTTTTTCGTGCCAACAATGGGCAGCATATAATTTCCAGCAGGTATTTCATGGTGCGCTTAATTTTCATATATATATAAGTTGAGCGCTGCCCTCCATATACACAGACATACACATATACACGATAAACCTGATATGATCTTATTCTTCAGTTGCATACTTTTAGGCGTTGCACATTACTTTGGGCCGCTATATATATATATTTATAGGCATTTACTATTTGCCAGTTGCATACTTTTAGGCGCTGCACCTTACTTTTTGTATATATAAATTTATATGTATATAATATTTTCCAGTTGCATACTTTTAGGCGCTGCACCTTACTTTGGGTCATTGGCACATACAGCACAAAAGGTGTGCATATGCATATGAGAAATAAAAGTTGTTTTTGTTCATTTTTAATATGCTGCGCGGGTGTGCGCGTTGCTTTGTATGCCATGCGCGTGAATTTATTTATTATATGCGCTTGTAACCAGCGGTTACCTGTTATTGTATACGCTTTTTCATTTTGGTTTTACTTGTGTGCCTCCTGCTCTTCATACAAAAAGCCACGCGAGAAAAAAAAACATAAATCAAGTCACATTTACTGTTTTCCATTCACAGCGCGTGTGTAAAGCATCAAAGCGTTAGTTGGGACGTGCCTGCTTTCACGAGAATCTGCTACTTTCGCTGCAGCTTTTATGCTATTTTAATAGCGAGCGCTTGCAGGAAGAAGAAAGGTAGCGAAAAAGCAGACACGCACACGCATGCAAAATGCGCGCAAAAGTGAAATAGAAACGCACAAGGGATCTGCAATACTTTGCCTGCCACTCTTCTTCAGGGCGCGCGCGCACATACGCACACACACATATATACGCATACATGTGTGTTAACTATCATTAAGACCTCACAACTTCAGCAAACGCGCTGCGCGCCTCTCAGCCGCTGCTTAAACTAGTTTATCACAGCGCTGAGCTTGCTTTCTGTAATATATTTTTGTTGTTGTTATTATTATTGTTGCTGTTTTAGCAATAGCTTCTTTTAGCTCCTTGCAATGCGCTGTGTTAATGCATTTTTTAATGCTTCACTCTACACTCCACCGCCCTTTATCGTATCACACACCGCGCGGCGCACAGCTTCTTTTCGCTTTTAGAGTTTCAATCGCATTTTTTTTTTCAATTTATTTTTTCTGCTCTATAGCTTTACACTGCAATCGCACTTTAAGCGCGCGTGTACATTTGCTTTTCATTATTTTTCTTGTTATTTTTTTTTCTTTTTCTGTGCGCCACATATGCCATTAGTGCGTTCAACGTAGAGAATATATCCCGTTGCTCGTGACGTGTAATGGCTGGCAACGGCTCGGCAGTCACACATGACAGGCTGGTGGTTGTGCGAGGCGCGTTCGACGCAAATCACTGTTAGTTTAATGCTTATGTTACGGAAAGTGATCATTTCTCATGGCTTTCCGGCTGATTGCCTGCTGGGTCTTGGATACAGCACAACCCGCAGGTAAAGCGAAATTTACAGGGTATTACTACTCTTAGACTCAGTGTAAATGAAGTTTGTACTCGAGGATATTCTAACCAATAATTAACTAATTTAAAACTGCTATGAAAGTAGTAATCTGTAGTCGCTATATTGCTTTGTTAACTTTAATCGGAAAAAGCGCAAAATATCTACTAAAATACGTGAAAAACAAATTTCAGTCCGATTCAAATTTGATCGGATGGTAAAACGTTTGCTCCGACTATATACTCTATAAGCATAAAAACGCTTACATTAATTGAAATTTAATGTTTTAAAATTGTTTTATATAACTATTTTACATATATATTTTAAATATTTAAGTATTAAAATGTTTTTCTGTCAAAAAATTATATATATAAAAAAACACTTTAACTACACGATTATAATTTTTGACTTTTTTTTTTCGTTTTTTATCTAAAATTTTTCTTCAAAACGTCGTTATAAAAGAAATTCCACAACAATTCCATTCTTATAATTAAATAAAGGGGTAGTAAATAAGGCAACGTATCCTACATATCTGTTTTGCTGCATATTTACTTGTATATATGCACCAACTTAAAAAGCAAGCATTATGTGCAAATGTTACTTATACGCCATGGCTGTGTATGTACATAAATGGAACGGTTTGCTTAATGGGGTATGCATTTTGTTGGTATACTGGTATGCACAAAGTTAAATAAATAAATACACATATATATATATACATATATATATATTCAGCGGTATATGTATTCAACAGAGTTTGCATTCTTTTTATTTTACTCGAAAGGAGTTAAGCGAGTTTAAATTTGTTCAAAAAAATAACAACAAAATGCATGAACTCAATGATTCCATAAGTCACACCCACATGCACTTGCTGAAAATCCGCACATATGCGTGCTTAAGACAAGATGTAGTACTTGCTTTTGGTGGAAAGCGCCAATAAGTATGCTATAGTGTATTGTATAAACGCAAAAGCCGTAAATTGAGGTCAAAAATTTAAAAGAGAGTTCAGTGCAGTCAAATTTTAAACACTAAATGGTTGGAGATTTAATTTCCATATACAATACGCCTAAAAGTGCACTACGCTATATACGAATATATTTATGTTTATATTAAAAGACTACACTAAAGCTTTACTCCACACCATTTTACCCCTTTGACTCTTTTGGTGATGACCAGTGAATAAGATTATGGTAGTGGCAAGCTGCACACAACGCCACCTATCGACTATAAACTGTATTTTCTTAATGCAATGAACGCCATTGGCATTACATGCTGTACTCAAATACAAGCTCAACTCTATTTACCAGTTTTTATGATATTTTTTATGCACACACACACACATCTACTTAAATACAAGCTCAACTTTTTACAGCTTTTATGACATTTTTTATGCACACACACACACACATTTACTCATATACATTTTCTTATCCTACATCTGTGTTACGACATTTTCTTTACTCTTACATTTTGTGGTCACAAAGTAAATTGGGTTAATATGAAATTACGTATTAAATGACAAAATTACTGTCGCATCAGACGACTGTAGTATGTTGGGATCAGCTGCCAGCAACAGTGCGGTTTTCGCGAGTAATTTCATGTCTTACATGTCAATATACTTATCGCTAGACTTACCTGTCTTTTTAAATTGAGCACGAGTCCTTCGACTTGTTTGCCGGAACTAAAAGCCTGCAGCAGGCCATTGTGGAAATCATCGTTACCGTAGAGACCTGCAGAGGCAAGAGAGAGAAAGAAAAAATATTAAGAAATGAGTTGACACCAAATTGCATTAGATCCATAGTTGGCAATAAAAGAGAGTGCATGAATTTGAAAAAGTACCGCAAAATAGCATACTTTTAAGCGCTATTATGTGCATTGAGTTGATTAGATTATGCAATGCATAGCTGTGGCATTACCACAATCAATTGAAAAGCTTTGTACTGCGATAAAGTAGCTTAGATTACTTAAAGCGAATATTGCATTGGATACTTTTAAGTGTCATTGATATTTATTGCCATATTTAAAAACTGAAAGAAATAAAACTTAATATTTTCAATAATAGTTGATATAAAGTTTTGTGTTATTAAATATATTATATATCAGGTTTTTTTTTATTTCTGAACGCCTAAAACTGTGCATCATATTAGAGTATATGACCCAGGAAAACTTGACAACCTCGGTGGCAAATTGGAAAGTAAAGTTTTGATTTCAATTATGAGGTAACCAGTATCTCATACTAACAAAAAGATGAAGTACACTTCACCGGCAGTAGTAAATAATACAGTTGTTATTTTAAAAAAAGCATACTTTTAGGCAAAACAAAGCGAACTGTGCTCAGCTAAGCCGTGTTTTGTATATTTTTATAATTTAAGCTTTCGTTGCATATTTTCAGGCGAAAAACTTTAAAAAATAGGTGTTTTGGAGGCAGTTAGAGAAGTTTTTTTTGGTATTTTTCTTATTTCGGCTACTCAAAATTATATCAGTTGGTTTTCGTAAATTTCGTTGCATATTTTCAGGCGAAAAGCTTTGAAAATTATGTGTGTTCGAAGGCAGTTGGAGAAGTTGGTTACGTTAATTTTCTATATTTCAAATTTGTTAAAGTTATTTTTTAGATAAAACTTTCCCCTAAAAGTATACTGCTATACTTCTAAAATTTAATGCTACGATTTGGGTTATTTAGGTATTCTTGAGTACACGCCTAAATGTATATACTAGCAAAAATTCTGATAATTACATATATGCATTACTACATAATTGACACTTAAATAAGTGCAGTTTGCGCATAATTTGCTGAGTGCTTTCAGTAAATACAGGCTTTTCAGATGCATATCTAGGCTTACCTCAGCGTTATGCTTGCATAGTTTGAGGCATACCGGTGTGTAAACCAAAAATTCACATATGTTCAGAAATGAACTAGCAAACTACAGCGCACCCCTTGCTGCACGCAAAATGTAGGTCAAGTAATATGCGTATGCAATATCAGGACGCATTTATCACTGATATGCATTAAGCGAAATCTGCTTTTAGGTGTAAAACCAATATTTATGTGGAGCTAGTAAGACGCAGATGCATTAGATGTGCTCTGATTTATAACTTTAAACTATTTACTAAACTAGTAACTCCCTAATAGTAGCGGCTTTTGTATGGCTTTACTTTAAGCGCTATGCATGCCTAAAAGTATGTTTAAAGCATGCATGTAACATAATTTCCAATCGTGGTAGTCAGGAAATGTAATTTTCACTTAAGTTAAACGAGCATTTACATTGGCTGCAACATTCTTCATTCGCTTTACGACTTCAACTGAAAACTTTAGTATACCTTTTGTGGCTTATGAAGTTCGTAATTTCTATACACTTAGTTTTAATTATCAATAAAATTTTGAGTGAACTTCAACGAACGACGAGTATATGCTGTGTAGCTAACAAAGTTTTGCAACATGCAACATAAACTTTCACAGCATTCGGTATGCAGAATAAGTATGGTATAGTATGGTGGAACGTATGCCGCCTGCAGATATGCAACATAATGCAATTCATGAGAGCTCTTACATACTGTCCAATGTTTTTAATGCTTGCAGTGGGCGGTTAGCATACATTTGTGCGCGCTAACATCTACATATACCATATAGTTTGCTGTAAACTTATACAGAAATTTCATTTTCATGTGTTAGTGCATGAAATATGCAATAGAATAGTGCGCGCGTCCGGGATTGTGCCTGGCAGACACACATACAGACCTGCGCATGCATGTTAACGTCAAATTTATGTTGCATATTTTTATGCGCAGCAGTGCTTGTGTACGAGCATAACCATATTTTAACTTAAAAATATTATAAATCATAACTTTTAGACACGAGTAGTTGTTAGTTTATGGGTGTCAAACGAGTTGATTGCGTTTCAAGCGCAGCCCCTTAAAACATGCAAAGATATTTTGCAAATATAAATAGCGTATGTGTAAAAGTATGCAGCTGTATGTGCGTGCAACGTTTTGTTGCAAGTGTTATGCAAAATTTAATGTCAACCATTTAGAGTTTTCATTAAATATTAGTTGACGTAACAGTTTAAAGAGGCTGGGTGAGGTACAAAGTATGCAGTTTGTGGTAACTAATTAATATTTTAGGTGTTAACAACTAATTATGGGTTTGTTAAAAAGGCACGTAAGAGGTTTTCAAGCATTTTTCAAAGAACAACCTAAAAATATGCAAACTTTTTCTTATAACGTAAAACATTTTATAATAAATTATAAAGCTTTTGAGTCTATAAACAATTAATTATCAATGTTCTTCTATCAAAGAAGATTTTTGCACTTCACTCTACTAAAATATTTGAAATCTCCTAAGAGTATACAACGTTTTCTTTATGACGCAATAAATCTTATATTTAAACAGTAGTTTCTGATCATGAACTATTAGTTTTTTTCTAAAATAAGTTATTAACACTACACTGCAGAAAAAAAATTCAGATATACAAAATATATGCAATGCTTTCTTTATAAACTATCTTTTATTTATAATCTTCTTTACAAAACTAGTAATTACTTATTTCTCGTTACAGAAATTACTCTTCTCTTCTTAAAATAAAATTAACATTAATATATTCTACTGAACTCATAATTTCTTAGTTATGGAATTTTTAAATTGTTAAAAATATATCGCCTAAAAGTATGTAAAATTTAATGTTGCTTAATTTACAACTTAAACAACAAAATTTTACTAATTTCTCAATTCTACTAATAACTAATATTAGCTTGGTTTCTAAAAAAAAAATCGACCTTGCCCCTAAAAGTATGCATTTCCGGACATCAATACCACAGTGATTTGACAGATATATATACCATATATATATATATATAGGAGAGAGTTAAATGAAAAAATGTTAGAAAAAATACACAAACAGTCTTCAGTCATCTATAAAATTTCTCCTTTTGAAAGCATTGAAGCCTGCTCTAGAGAGTCAGCCGAAATAAACTTGAGCAGTTATACTCTATTTTTTAATTTTTTTAATTGTACTTTCTCTTTTTCATTTTTGGCTTGTTAACTGTCACAATTAGTTTCAGCAGTTTCTCCCCACTTATTTAACCGAAAAGCTTCATCAGTCATGCTGTTCATTTACAGCACAGCTGGAATAGTTTATGGCAAGTCAAAAAAGTGAGCAAAAATAGTTGAACCACAAGCAGGTTAATCAAGTAACCGAGCTCGGAATGCGAAAAGGCTTCACAATCCTTGGTTTACACTAGAAAATAAAGAAAACACAGCAGTAAAAATAAATATATACTCGAGTATTTATATACTCTAAAATGGAGACACGCTTGAAAAGCAAAATATAACTAGCATGGCATATCTATTGTATCTTCGAAGTAGTCAGCTGCATATGTATGTACATATGTACAATCCTGTCACACTCACACATATTACTATAACGAGAATTTACTTGCTGTTAACGTATTAGCCGCAGCCAACACAAGTTTATACGAAAAGCAACAATAATAACAAACAGCAGCTGCCACTACTACTGCTGCTAGTGTTGTTTGACAAGCACAATAAAAGCTTTTAATTAATTTACACTCGAAAGTGAGATGAGCGACAGATCAACGGCAGCGGTAGGAGGAGAGTGGTGAGTATAGGCGTTAAAGCTCTTATATCTACAAGTGTCTATGTGTGTGAAGCTCTGTGTGTTTGCGAATTTTCTTGGTAAAAAATTTTAAGAAAAAGTAGTGCAAAGAACTAAAGTCAATAAGCGGCGTAAGAAGAAATATACAAAAAACTCGAATTGAGAGTACATACATAGCTTTTGTTGAAATAATGAAGAGCTGATATAGAGTGATGATTTGATAAGAAATGAAATACAGTTGGATGTTGGAATTGAATTTTTTTTTGGAATATTTTTTATTTTATACTAAATAAACATAAAAAAAATAAAAACTTACTGAATAAAAATAGTAATAAAAAAAAATTGGAATATATTGTAAAAAAAAGAAAATTGTAAAAATACTTATATATAAATATTTATATATAAAAAGTTAACGAAAAAAGTAGTAAAAATAAATGATCTAAAAACCAAAACAAATATTACAAAATAAATTTAAATTTTATTTATTATTATTTTGTTAAACTAATAAAAAAAAGTGTTTAACGTCCTTCGTTTAACGTTAGATCATTTATTTTGTAATATTTGTTTAGCTTGTAAAATTTTAATATTTTTCTAATTTTTTCTTAGTATTTATCCTAATATTTTAATTAAAATAAAATAATTATTTTAAATTAACTTAAACTTTGTATTTGATTTTTAATAAATTTAAATTTAGTTTGTAATATTTCTTTAGCTTTTTAAGTTTAAATATTTTTTATTCTTATTTTTTTTTAAGTTTTTCTTTTTTGTGTTAAGTAAAATTGCGTCCAGACTTTTTAACATAGATAATTTTTAAAATACATTTGCAACTTTTTAATAACCATCATGAAATATTTTGCATATTTAAATTTATAAAATTTTCAAGTGTGAATAATTTATATTTTTTATTAAATTATACATTTTTTTATTATATTATTCATTTAAATGATTTAAATATATTTTACAAAATTAATACTTTTAAGTCAGGTTTTAATAAAAAAATTCTTTTTAAATACATTTTTTTTCTATTTTTATTATTATAACATTAGTAATTTTTTTTATTCTCTTATTAATTTAAATAATTTTTTTTTATTTTATATATATATATACATTTTTTTACAAAATCAATATTGGTTTTTAGTTGCATATTATATATTTTAAATTGTCGGATTTTCAAAAAATGTTAAGTTCAAAAATTTAGTTTCTAAATTTTAATTAAATATGAGATCTTAAAATGTTGCTTTAATATAATTTCTCAAATAAATAATTTTTAGTTTAAATAGATTTTTTTTTATTTATTATAAAACATATTTTCTTTCACAATATTAATACTTTGAAGTCGATTTTTAATTTTTTGTTGTTTTAAATAAAATAATTTTTTTAATTGCATATTATGTAATTTAAATTGTCAATTTTTAAAAAAATTTGAAGCTCAACTAAGGGAGTTTCTATTTTTGAAGTTATGATGCTGTTTTATGTAATACATATTAAAATTTCTTTAATATAACTTTTATTTATTTTTAGTTTAAATTGTTAATTTTGCTTTAATTTAAATTTCATTTCATCAAAATTTATTTTAATTTTGATTTTTTTAAATGTTATTTATAATTATTTATATATATATTTTAAATTTTTTGAACGTCGGCTATTTTTAAATAAAAAATTTCGTTTCTAAATATTACATTAATTATTTTTTATCTAATTGACTATTAATGATTTTAAAATTTTTAATTGAAAAAAATTTATTTTATTATTATTATTTTATTATTTATTTTATTACTTTTTTAATAAATTTAAAATTTTTTATTTTTTCTGCAATTAAATTAAATTTGATTCAAATTCATTTTTAAATTTTACATATCTTGTTTTGTTAAGTTTTGAAATTTTTATTTTTTTATAATTGTGGTATTAAATTTCTTAAATTGTTAACTGAAACCTATTTTTTTAGTTTAAGCTATTTTTGATTTAATTTTTTTTGTAATTTCTTTAATTAAAATTTAAATTTTTCTTTATTCTAATAAATTATTTTTAACTGAACGTCTAAATTCTTTTGATTATTATATTATTGTTTTATTTTATTTAAAATTCAGTTTCTTTAAATTTTAAATGAAATTACTTTTGATTGCTTTTTTCATATTTAAGTTGTTGATTTTTTTTAATTTAATGTTTCTTTTCTTTTTTTAAATTTAAATTACTTTTTCTATTATTTTTATATTTCTTTAAGTAAAAGCACATTTTGTTAACATAAATTATGACGTACAGAATTAAATTTTTTTAGAATAAAATATATTTCACTTTTTTAAATTTAAAATTTTTTAACTTTTTAACTTATAAATTTAGAATACTAAATTGTTTAAAATTAATTTAAAATTTTTTAAACATTTCTTTTTATGCAAGAAATTTGTTATTTTTAAACAATTTATATTTTGCTTAAATTATTTTCTTCGTTTGCTTCCACCGTTTCTCCACATGGTATTGAATCTTCTCCAATTGAACGTTAAATACCGGATTGCTTGCAAATTCTACTACTTATTGCTGTTGTTGTCGCAATAATTGCACACCAATTATGCATGTCGGCGCAAGCAAATGTCAAAAGTTTAATTGCAAATAAAATGTCTATTAATTATAGTCAATTAAATGCATTTGCTATGAGAAAAGTCAAAGAAAACCGCAAGAGTAATTATGTTACAGCGAAACAGCAATACAAACATAACGGCTTGGCTAACGTTAGGTTTGTGAAATTGGAAATTTAAAGAATATAGTACAGCTATTGTTCTGCTAACAACTTTTGGTTAGGAATAAATTGAAATAAAATAAATAAATATATGAATTCGCCAAAATGTAGGCAATGAAAAAAGTCACGCTCAACTGTCAAAGTACTTAATGTTTTCATAATATTACAATATTCTAAATTGAAGCATTAAATAATCAAATTAAGAAAATTAAATTTACTGAAGCGCCTAAAACTATGCAACTTTTCTGCGCCAACTTTAAGCACATATATTCAGAGTAGAGTTATTAATCTCACCAAAACAACAATAACAGCACTAAATCTTACCAACACAGGCGCACTAGTTGGCTGTGCGCCCTGAAGTATGCTACAAAAAACTCCTATTTTTATTTATCTGATAAAAATGCATGAGAAAACACAGAAAAATAATGACTTCGCACACATATACTCACGCACGCACAAGATGTGGGAGTGACGATAAAATTGTCAAACTACAAACCGTAAAAAAGAGGAACTGAGGTAAATACTTGAAACGTGAAAGTAAAAGGTGCAAGAGAAGCGTAAAGGTTGTAAAGGAAAGCAAAACGCGGCAACAAAAACAACTAACAATGACAGCAAAACAGTCGTTAACCTCTATACTAAGTGCACGAGAGGCTGGTCTTACTTTGTGCGAATTTATGTGCGTTTTGGTTTTTTGTTTTCACTTTTTTCTGCAGCGCTAAATTGCAGCATTTGTTGTTGCGCACTGCTAACGCAGTTTTGTTTATGTCTAACCTGGTGCCGCTACTATTTTTTGGTGGATATTTTGGTGCTCTGGTTTTTATTTTTATCTTTTCAATTTATTTTTAAATTTTATCTTCGTTTTGCTTTCTTTTTTCACTCGCTTTTTTCACAATTGTCTTTTCGGTCACATTCAGCTTATACTTTTGTACACGAAATTGTTTTTCTGCGTTTATTTACAATGTTTTCGTGAAAATTGTTTTTGTTGTTGCTGCAATGCACCATCTACCAAATATTTACGCTGGCAATTATCCAATGAAAATCTTATCTTTTACATGACATATTTTATGTGTGTATGTGGTAGAAAAATAAAATGGCAAAAGGTAAAAGAATGTTTTTCTTTCAAATAAGAATAATATGCACACTAATTCGAGATTAAGGTATGATAGTTTGAACTTTAAGATGTTATGTAACATATGTGAATTCAAGTCATTAATTTTTTACTATTTTTTGCTGGTCATTATTTGCTACGTATTAAATTTCTACAAACATCTTTTTTAAAACTAGTTGAGAATTTAATATCAAAAATATCTGACGAATGAAATAGGTAGCAAATATCCAGGCACTTTGGTTAACTTTTACAACTTGATTGGTGTTCAAGTCGCACAGCGCCCTCTACATGTTAAAGTTTACACAACTAAGTACTTCCTTATGTTCAAAGTCAAAGTTTAATTCTAATCTGCCAAGCTACATCTCCATTAGGTTAACTGCACCCTTTTTCATTCTCATTAATTTTACGATCGTATTATTATTTTTTTTAATTTTCGATATTTATCCATTTTTTTAATTTAACTACTTACCTAAACCAATAGCCGCGCATGTCATCAATGTAATTATGACTAATGTGCAACTCTGACAACGCTGTGCGCTCGGTTTGCGTGGCTTACGATCGCAACAACGCGTCAGCAGATATAATAGCAGACCGAAGAGCGATAATATGAGTAGACCGGCGGGTATGGAGGCGAGTATGCCCAAGCTCTGTAAAGAAAAAATATAAAATAAATTATTTGATATTGTTTTGAGAGAGACTCTGGCAATTGGAATATATACAAGTATATGAATGGAGGATAATGTTAAAGCTCGGGAGAGAAAAAGACATGCGCTGATGGAGTTTTTTTTATAGTGATCGCTGAAGCAAAGAAAATTATATGGAGACAAAGATAGGAAAAGTGGAAAATGGTAGAAAATGATAAAGAGAAAGAGTATTAGAAAGATAAAGAGAGAGAGTTGCTCAAACTTCTTAATTTAGAAATTTCACTTTAGTAAAGTTTCACACTCTTTATTTATATCATAAAAAAAATAAACTGACTCTAAACCAGCTCGATTCTGACGATCGAACTGGATCTTAGCAACAGCAAGGAAAAGGAAAAATATAGAATAAAAGCGAAAAAGAGTGTATAGTACTTAGAGAGAGTAGCACTGCTGAAGCTTCTTAAATTCGAACTTTTTCTTTTGCCAAATTTCACACCCTGAATTCATCGAAAAATAGACTGGTTCCACACCCTCTACATGCTAGCGGTCAAACTGTTATAAGCAACAGGAAAAAATAGCAAATGAAAGAGAAAAAAAAGTATAGTAGAAAACTGCAAATTTTCGTTAGTCAAGTTTCACACCCCTTATTCTTAGAAGAATAAACAGGACCGGTAGAATTGGAAATTCGTTACAGTAAAATTTTCGAACATCTTGGTAGTTTTTTTGTAAATATATTTTTACTCAAAAAACATTTTCTTATGATCGAAATATAATATTCTATGCTTTCGAAATTGCGATTTTCTGTTTATGATTTTTAATGTGGTTGTTTTTTTTTAGTTTTTTTGAAGCACTTGATAAAGATATTTTTGCAACAACTTGTTTATCTATTTCAAATGCTTTTTGTTGGAATTGCAACTACTACTGACAGTAGCTGCAAAAGGTCAAGTAACAGCTACGCAAAGGCGAGTTCTTTGCTAAAAGTTATTGTCGTACATTTTTTGTTCTACTTTTAATTTTACTTTATTTCCGTTTCTGATCATTGCTACAATTCAATACACTTTTCCACATCATTGATTGTAAGTCGCTAAGCGCGTATTCGTGTTGCTTTGCTCCTTTCGTGTACTATTGGCATGTCTGTCGTCGTCGATGCTCAAAAAGCGAAACGGCAAAAGCGCGAAAGCCAAGCAACTTTTTAATTAAACGCTGTTAAGCGGATTCAACTGCAAGTATCGGAAATTTAATTAAAAACAAAAGATATTCCCCTAACTTCCGATTTTTATTATATTTATGCTGCACTTATTGCCACCACCACACAATTGGGTTTTGTTTCTCTCTTATATTTACTTCAGTTAAGTGTGGAGTGTTTCATGCTGCGCAGAGTTGGCGTGAAGTTGTCTATTTCCGCTTTGCGTGAGTAAGTCGTTAGTTACAATTTCGACGTTTTGCTGCATGGCGAGTTTTTGTGCACTGAGAATAGATGAAGCGAAAGTTCAAAAAGAAATAGTTATACCCTGAACAGGGTATATTAAATGCATTTATAAACGATCAATATCGATTTGAAATTTCGCATACGCCATTTTCTCCCCAAGAGACTGTTCATTTGTCGGAACCGCCGATATCAGACCACTATAGCATAAAGCTGGCGTACAAACTGGCCTATCAAAATCAAGCTTAAAATCTGTTTTTACACTTTAATGCTTTAAAAAATGCATCTGTTTAGGGTAGCTTTTGTGCAGTTGAGGTAAATTTTTTTTCTTCTTATATATTACCGCTGAACTCATAAAAAATTTTTTGTGGAGTTATTTGGTCTAATTATTTCATATAAAATCGATTGAAATTTAAAAGCCAACCATGCTCAAGATAAAGTCTTGAATGTACCTTTATGGAGGCGTCATACCAATTATAAGAGTGTTCTTGTTGCAAAGCTTCCTGAGCTTTTTTCAGATTTTTCGTAGGTTTATACTGCTTTTTAGCATTTTCGAGTTTATTTTAACTTTTTCATGAATTTTGGAATAATAAATGTAGTTTTAATTTTACTTAAAAAAACCATATTTATTTTTTTAAATTTTTTGCAATTTTTTATTTTTATTTGAAAATTTTATAAACTTTTTTTTTTTAATTTATATTAAATTTTAAATTTTTTATATTTTATTTTAATTTTTATTATAATTACTTTTTTTTAAATTGAATTAAAAAAATTATGTATCACAATTATTATTATGAAAACTAATTAGTTTTATTTTTTTCTTTATTAAACCATGTTCTTTGGTATTTCTGCACCTTGCACTTTTTGATTAAATTTTTATTAGTTTTTTGTTTTAAAAACGAAATATTAATATTATTTTTATTTATTTTTCATATTGAATATTTAATATTAATATTAATTATTATTTTTAAAATAGTTATATAAGTTTAAAATTTTTTTTCAAAAATAATAATTATTTTTAATTTTTATAAACTTTTTTTTTATTTAATTTATATTAAATTTTTAATTTTATATATTTTGTTTTAATTTTTATTTTTATTATTATTTATTTAAATTTATTTAAAGAAATTATGTAACACAATTTTTATTAGAAAAACTAATTAGTTTTATTTTTTTCTTTATTAAGCCATGTTCTTTGGTATTTCTGCATCTTGCGCACTTTGATTAAATTTTTTTTGGGTTTTTTTTTATTTAATTAAATATTAATATTTATTATTATTTTAGAAATATATTTATATATATTATTATTTTAGAAATAATTATATAAGTTTAAAATTTTTTTTCAAAAATTTTCCTATAAATAATAAATAAAATATTGCAAAGCTAGATATTTATAAATAAATAACAATATTAAAGATCTAACTCTTAAGTATGTTTGGTTTACTGAAAAAATAAATAAATGTCAGTGTTTGTGTTGTCAAATTGAAAATTAAAATAGTTTTTTGCCCCAATTTTTAAATTCCAGTGAAATATTTATATTATTTACCAAAACAATTATTATAATACAAAAATTTAAAAAGTATTATAATAAAATTAAGGATCTAAATTTTAAAGTTTTTCCACACGAAAATTTTTTTCATTTGCAAAATAATTATTTTTATTTATTTTTCATATTGAATATTTAATATTAATATTAATTATTATTTTTAAAATAATTATATAAGTTTAAAATTTTTTTTCAAAAATAATAATTATTTTTAATTTTTATAAACTTTTTTTTTATTTAATTTATATTAAATTTTTAATTTTATATATTTTGTTTTAATTTTTATTTTTATTATTATTTATTTAAATTTATTTAAAGAAATTATGTATCACAATTTTTATTAGAAAAACTAATTAAATAAATGTCAGTGTTTGTGTTGTCAAAATGAAAATTAAAATAGCTTTTTGCCCCAATTTTTAAATTCCAGTGAAATATTTATATTATTTACCAAAACAATTATTATAATACAAAAATTTAAAAAGTATTATAAAATAAAATTAAGGATCTAAATTTTAAAGTTTTTCCACACGAAAATTTTTTTCATTTGCAAAATAATTATTTATATAAAATTTCTTTTCTCTCACATTCCCAGTCCCTTCACAATTATTTTATTACAAGATAACTGCTGTTTGTGCAACTGCGAAAGTGCGAACGGAAGGAAATGTGGGACATAAAATTTATGCAATGCTTTGCTAAGCAATTTATTGGAAATTCAATCAGTGTTTTCACGCTATAAAAAGAGTGAGCTAAATATTTTAACTTTATTGAAGAGAGAAAATGGGTAAAAAAGAGTGAGCGGAATTTTGTGCCGGTGAATTTTAACTTATTTTAGTAAACCAAAACAAATTTTTTTTTTTAAATTAAATATTTTTAAAATTTATTTCATGTATAATATTTGCTTTGTCATAACTGTTAATCTGGTTGAAAGCTCATACATACTCTTTCCTTTTTGCCATTTAGTTTAAAAAATGTATGCAAAATAAAAAAAAACAGCGTGTCATCAATCAAATTTTATTGCCTACTAACCGCAGCGCCGCAAAAACAGCCACTTGGTGATATATCATATACATACTTGTATGTATTATACTTGTATATACATACACTCCACTCTTCCGCCAACCAGAGCTTTGCAGCCATATAGTTTTATCTTTTATAGTTTGGCACTTGCAAATTTATCCCTTACTAGTTATCCCTTTTGCACCGGGCTTTGCGGTCAACGCACTGGCCTGTGCAACTCTGTATGTACGCATGTTAGTTTTGCTGTGACATAAAGCTTGACACCCACATAGCCAAAAATACATATGGCGGTGTTGTAAGTGCGCCTTTAATGACCCAGTGGAATAAAAATGCTGGATTTATTTTATGTTAACCACAAATGTTGGGTTGTCGGACACTTTCTGTGGAGCTTTTGTTGGCGTTGGAGAAGCGTTGAATGTTGATATTACTTCAAATATAATTTGCACGTAGAAGGCAAGCAATTTATTTAATCATACGCTGTTTAAAGCTCTTTAAATAAAGCGAATAAAATGAAAAGGGATTGATGACAATTGGTTTGTCTAATAAACTACTTATTTTCCAATTTATGGAACTCACTAATAGCTGCTTTATTATATGCTCTATTTTCAGTGCGAGCATTATATTAGCAGCCGAACATTATTAAAGAATAAGACCGGCCTTGCTTTAGTATCTAGAAAATGCTTTTTGAATCCCAAAAAATTAACCTATTCAATTAGATTAACTACAAAAAGCAATCTAATAGAACGGGTTTATCTTAACACTTTTGTCTTGACGTTTAAACTCGCTCAGAAAAGCAAATTTCCAAACTTTGAGAATAAAATTTTTATTTATCTTCTCCAAACACCCATAACTTTCTGGTTAACTGAATTTCGTAGAAGCTCAAAGCTTAAAGCGCTACTTTCCAAATGTTTATTATGCCTTCGTTTACATAGATATTCTTGACAAATTTTCGAAAAGTTAGTGTCATAAGACCTTCAGCCACAAAATTTTCTTCCGAAATATAAACCAGTTGGGCTA